CACCTACCTCCGACGATCTCAGAGGTGGATTAAGTGGTTTTGATTGGCTAGTTATGAGGCCACACACACACACACACACACACACACACACACCTACATCTCCCCAATAATTATGACCATCCTCACTTTTGTAATGTGATGGGGTTGAAACTTCTTGTTAATTCACCCTCTCCCCATTGTCACTTACTTATATGTCTAAAACAATAAATTGACGGGTCTGTCTATCTGTCTGTTCCAGCCACAGCTCCAAAACGGAAGCAGTTCGAGACGTGAAACTTTACACGTATATTACAAGGGTCCCAAAGTTGTGCACCATGGTATTACTATTACGGGCCCCCTGGTGGTCTGGGCAAGAACCAAAATTCTTCCCCGACTCAGATATCACCACGGCGATTGTGGTAGCTTGTTACCTGTGTCAGGGAGGATAAACTGTGACAGTCAAGGTTATACAGTTTATACCTAAACCGAGCGAAGCCGGGCAATTTTGGTAGTATATTATATACTGTATATGGCTGGAACAGAGAGACACCAGGGGCATGTGATCAATAGTAACACCAAGGCCAGCGTAAAGTTTCAGTTCTCTAACTGCTTCCGTTTTGAAGCTATGGCTGGAACAGATAGACACACACACACACAAAAATTCACAGGTAGACAGACATACAGGTAGACACATCCTTTTATTATTATAAAAGGACGGCTTCTGATCCTTTGCAGCGGGTGGCTGTTGTAGTTATTTGTAAAACACTCAGAAGCACACAATAAAATAAACAAACACAGACAGACAAATAAACAAACACACATACGTAGAGGAGCAAACAAACTTAAGCACATATGCAGATAAACAAACAAACAGAAGTAGATAAACAAACACATTCAAGCAGAAAACAAACACGCACAAACAAACAAGCACACACACAAGCAGACAAACAAACACACACAAGCAGATAAAGAAATGCACAAAGAAGAATAAAAAATAAGAAAAACGAGAAACATGAGAAACTGAATGAGTCATCTACATAAGAGAGAAAGAGAGAGAGAGAGAGAGAGAGAGAGAGAGAGAAGGGAGTGTAACACGGCTGGCGCCACAATTTAAGCAGCTGTCTGAGGTACCCGAGGCCTGCTGCTGGTGCCTACCGTGTTTCTTATAACATCTGTGCAGTGATCAATGTTAGCACCCATAGAATCAAGGCCACCAGACTGTACCACTTAGATTAGGCAACTTGGATCTCAGTCTTGCCAATAAAGACGGTAAACTAAACGCTAGCATTAGTTCTGTGTTTAAACGTGTGTGTGTGTGAGAGTCAGACACAAATGGAGATCGTGTTTATGACAAGAGTCAGTCTCGTCCCGTCTGAAGTAGGAAAAGGTTATATTTTGGTGGTCATGAAGGATGGCGTCATGGTAACAGAAGGAGGAGGATGTAATGGTAGGAAGAGGGGGGGGGGGTGATAGAAGGTGGAGGATGGGAAGGAGGTGATGATATGAGGAAGAGGAGAAGGAGGAGGAATGGGTTAGGCCGCTAGGGGGTTGAAAGAGGATAGCGACCTGTAGGAAGAGAGGTGTGGTAGGGGGCTGGGAGAGAGAGAGAACTTGAAGTAGTAGTAGTAGTAGTTAGGCAGGATGCTTCGTATGCACAGGGCACGATGAAGTAAGGAACCTCACTGCGAATATACTGTACTGAAGGAAATATGTCACAATGTCACTGTGGAACTGACCCTCCTCCCACTGAGTAATGAGCACCTCCTCCACCAGCATGCCAAAACAACCAACGAGGCTCGTGTGGATGCCAGTATTTGAAGATTCTGAAAAAGGGGACAATGAGTCTTCTTTGACATCAGAATCTTTGATCCCTTGGCCGCACGTCACGGTAACCTTTCTGTCTAGGCTACTCATAGGATAAACGAGGATGACAAGAACAGAGTGTATGAAGAGAAAAATCCAGAACGTGGACAAAGGCATCTTCACTCCTCTGCTGTTCACAATATCAGGCTGGATGGGACCTAATGCAAGGTCCTTCTTCGCCAGACTGGCCGAGGTGTTTTCAGAATAAAAGCATCAGCCCAGAATCTACGTTGCGGCCTGGTTGAGGTGTCACCTCTCCTTCTCTCTACTCAGATCTGCTTCAGGGGAACAAGATCATTGGCCCTTAAGCCAACAACAGTCGCAGACATACAGGTAGACTATGAGGCAACAGTCACTGAATGCCGCATAGATCTACGGCTTAACTAACTCAGCTAGGTAGAAACTTTTGTATTAGGATATTTAGGTGATAAAATGGTGGACAAGGTATGGCTGTGGGGGGAGCTTGGACGCAATAAATGTGAAAAGTAGTAGTAGTAGTAGTAGTAGTTGTAGTAGTAGTAGTAGTTGTAGCCTCAGTGGAACGAGAGCATCGGCCCCAAAACCGACAACAGTTGCAGATATCGATTATGAGGCAACAGTCACTGAATGCCGCATAGATCTGCGGCTCAACTAACTCAACACAGCTATGGTAGCTATTTATGTATTAGGATAGTTAATTTTAAGGTATTAAAATGGTGGCGAAGGTGTGGCTATTGGGGGAAGCTGAAGGCCACGTTCTAAAAAAAAAAAATAGTAGTAGTAGGTGGTCAGTGTACTATTGGAGGGGAGGGGATACATGACTTTAGCGCACACACACACACACAACACGCACACACACACACACACAACACACACACACACACACACACAACACGCACTTGTCCAAACACTTCAACAAATCCATGAACAATACTGAAGCAAAATCATGTGCCTCATCTGATAACTTCAGTAGTCGTAATGGTAGAGAGGGGGTGCCCGTAGCTGTTCTCTGTAATGGCGTTGTGCACCACTATGTATGGAGTCGTAGTTTGTGCAGTGTGTGTGTGTGTGTGTGTGTGTGAAACAGACTGACACGCAGGCAAACACAGTACTTAACCTAACCGGAGCAGGAACACTTATGACATAAGTGACGACAGTCAACACAATTCAAATAACAATGTACTCATCATTATGGAGGAGGAGGTGAGACCCACAGCCGGCAACCATACTGAACCACAATCTGACTGGCTGTTTTCAGGTGGTTAACACAACACCAAACCTCTAATGAATGAGTCGAAGCATTAAGACAGTCCAGTGTGGCGACTATTGGCAGTCCTCACCACCTTTTTACTTAACCAATAGATGGCGACTATCGTAACAAATAATTGACAGTGAATTATTAACCTGACAAAAATTAATACGTTCAGTAAATAACAATAAAATCCTTTACATACTTTCGTGAAATATACAAAATATAACAATAATGTGGAAATAAGAAGGAATATTAGCGAAGACAGAAATACCTCCCCACCCGCCCATCACTCATGATTAACCCTCTGTATAGAACAGGGGAGGCTGTCAAAGTGCCTGTGCCGACAGAAACGACCAGCCAACCAGAATCTAACTCTTAAGGGAACCACCCACAATATGTAGCCCTGGACACAACCCTAACACACTACCAGCTACCAAACAGGGAGGTACTACCGCCTGGGAAGATATTAGAAGCATAATGTGTTGTCTAATGGTAGACCCTGCTGCCATATGGCATCAGAAATAGTGTGACCAAGTCCCAGGTTGCTGATCTGACTTTCTGCCTCATTTACACACAATTGCAGGGTCTCAATTGCTTCTCATTTAGACAGCAAAACATACTTACTGTGTATCGTTTCTCCCTCATGATTTTTGTCCATTTCTGCATTTACATTTGGTTCAATTCCCCCCCAGGTCCTGGCGTGGGTCGGTGACCTGTGGATGGGTGGGCTAATCCCCGTAAAAAAAAAAAAGAACTCATCCGGAGCAAGGCGGTCAGCTCTCTTCCTTCTACTTCCTCCTAAATTTCTTCAAAGTTCCGTACTATTAACCTCCTTCCGGCCTCCTCTAATCTTTCTTTATAAAAAAAAGCAAAGCCTACCTTCACTAACCCGACCCCATTCACACACACACACACACACACACATATATCAGGACAGATCACACACATAACATCACCAAGACAGTTCACCATTCAAGTCCTTTCACAATGTCACCATAAGTCTCCTCTTCCTTCACCCCCACAAGTACTATTAAGGATTAGGTTACAGTTATCTCCGGGTTAGGTTCTCGACTACACAAGCCTGACCATGGTGGTGGTGGGGAGGAGGAGGAGGAGGGGCTGATGGGGGTAACAAGTGGACTAAACCAGGGTTGAGTAATGGTTCATCCTACTGTGGGGGTATTACGAGTATTCTTGCTATTGTGTTCATCATTCTTTATCGTGCGTGTGTGTGTTTTTATTCTGTTTTGTTCTTTTTATTTGTTTTTTTTATTATTCTATCTTCCTCGTTTGTTCTTCTTCTACTTTTATTTCTTCAGCTTCCTAGTGTTTGTGTTAGTGGTTGTTGTGGTTGTCGCTGTTGTTAAATGTTCAATGATGTGGTTGTTTCAATAGTTGTTGTTGTTGTTATTATCAATGGATTTGTTGCTATAGTTATCACTGGTGTTGTTATTGTAGTTGCTGCTTTTAAAGTTATCATCATTGGTGTGGTTGTTACAATAGATGTTGTTGTAGGTGGACTAATATGTGGTGGTACTTGTTCTTCTATTCTTATTTTAAAAGATTTTCTTTTCTTTTTTGTCCTGGATATTTTAGAACAAAAAAAGACTAATGCTTTTTTTCCTCCTTGATACATACTTTCTATTCGTTTATTTTCCTTATGTTTTAGCTTTTTAGTTTTTTGTGTGTGGGAGGAAAAGCTGTTCAGTATATATATTTATTTTCTTTTATATTGGTTTAATTTTTGTAGTAAAATATTTGGATATACTTTGAAATTTTCGCGATTCTGTGTTTGGTAATTTTTATTATTAATTTATTTACTTATTTTTTTTTTTTTACGGACAACTTGCTTAAACTCTCTCTCTCATCCTTTTGTCTATTGATGATTTCATGTTTCTCTCACACACGGGATTAATAAACAAAATAATCTATAATACTGTTTATTCCGTGACTTACAAACTCATACAAATGTGAGAAAATAATAATTACAGGGCCACTATATATCTCCTCTGGACCAAGACCCATGCTACAGTACGTCACTGAAGCGGAGGGTGTGATTAAGTTAATGATGGGTAGGAATGGGTAAGAGTGGGTTTGGGTGAAGTTAAGGCGTGGGTTGTTTTAGGTTTGGGGTGTATTAGGGGTATCTAAGGGTGGGTTGAGGTGGGTTAGGGACAGGTTATTTTAAGTTAAGGACAGATCCAGGTGTGAGATATGAGCGAGTCCCTGGTATACAGAAGAGTCGAAGACCTGAATATTAAAACGTTTACTTGCAGTAAAGTTATAATCCTCAGAGCAGAGACGAGGTAATATAAATAATTTAAAAACATGTAGTTATCACTTAATATTATAAGACAGAGGTGGCAATAATTTAAACAGGAATAATAAAAAATATTAATAATAAACAAAAGATCCTTGAGATTTCATGGTAACGTCCGCTCTCCCGTGCCACAATAACAACGCCAGCAACAGCAGTCATCAGAGTCTGGCGTTATGTAAGTTACGCCAGGCGAACGTTTGACCATCACCTGCCTGCTGTGACGCTATTTTATGATAAGAACATTAAATGGACACACATGGATGGCTCGTTATCCCTTGTATATAATGACACCTATGTTAATCTATTTATTATAAACTCCACAACATGCACTAATTGTGCTCTTACTAGAGGCGTTTATATGTATATACAATTTAACTTCAGACACATTTATATCAATCTATTATGTAATGGTAGATTAATCTTCATGCCCATTGTAAATTTCTCTTATTTTTGGCTCTAAATATTTCACAAATCACAAGTAAACAATAGATACATTTTCACATCAGTGGGGATCCCTTATATTAGTGCCGCTGAATATTGACCAGTGTGGGGAAATAAGCTTATAGAGAGAATCAAGCATTATATTTTGTTTAGGGTTGCTTGGATATTCCTACTAGATATTTCCACTGGACTATTCCTACTGTTTAATGTACCATCTTGGATTACCTTAAAGCTATATCTCAAGTTTGTCTCTACAGTGTCATCTTAAGGTTAAATCACACTCACCAGGAATTGTGAAGGGAGGAACACTATCACAGCTGACTCGCATGATCGGGGCGTGTACTTCCCGTGTGTGTGTGTGTGTGTGTGTGTGTGACTACAGTGTACGCTAGTGTTGCATAAGGACATTAAAAATCTTGTGGCACTTCAACAGGTGATCGCCATGTTGATACTGTGTAACCTTGTCCCTCATACAGGGTGTCTAAAAACAAAATGGTCTGACCCATATTAAAGCTCATGATATTTTAAAGAAGACAGATGCATATTCTGTGTGCTTTACGGGAACAATGTTGGTGAATCATATCCAAAGCTTCTAATATTAACAACTCCAAGTAATTGCACAAAACAAAATAATGTCAAGACATTTGTAGACCCACTTGTTATCTTTAGACACCCTATATAGCCAATGAAGACAAGATGGGAAGGGTCTGTGGTAGTCGCGTGTCTCTTAACTGTAATGCCAGCTGTATGAAGACCACCGACTCTCATGAGGCCATCTGGCATCCTTTCTGTTCCCAGGTGGTGTCCTACTGCTGTCAACCAGCTGCTTGATGATGCAGAAGTGTCCTCGAGAAGATAAAGAGGTTTCGTAAACAGATTACTTCTTGCTCTCGTTCAACACTTAGTCATTCGTTCACACACATGTAATTGTCTTTGGTTCACAAGTTATCGTTTGAAACAGCTGATGCTGTTTCTACAATACGTTCTCGTTCGGTAGCTTATACGACTTCTTTGCTATCGTATAAACTTCGTAAACACTCGTACAGTTGCCATAATCTTCCATGGAACTTCGGCATCGCATTTTGTCGTAAATATCGTAATCACTCGTACAGCTGGTGCAAGCTATCGTACAGCTGATATAAATATAGTGTAATTCGTAAACTCTCGTATAACCGGTATTTACAGCTTGTAAAAACACTCATACTTTATATATGAATTATCATACAGCTGCCGTAGACTATCGTACAGGTTATATAACTATCGTACATGTCAACTCTGCTACAGATGTCATTTACAGCACTCGTACAGCCGGTGTAAAACTGTCCTACAGAGGGTGTTATCTACTGGCACAGCTTGTTTATATAGAGAACATCTTACAGATACAAGGACCTGCTGTAACCTGATAGAAAGACCCTTCCCACGCGTAGGGAAGACCTCAGGTTGTTACTGGTCCACTCAGCGCCAACGATCCCTCCTGCGGTAGTCCTGTCGAACCTTGTCGATGAGGTTCCGGAGGGTGGCCATGGCGTCGTCGAGTCCCTCCCCAGTGAGGGCGCACACGGGAGCCACCGCCCACACCACGCCCATCGCCTCGCCTAAGCCCAGGCTCATGGCTACACCCTGGGCAGAACGGGCGTGGATCTGGTCCTGTAACACAAAGACGGCAGACTGTCAGCTGACTTTATTTGTAAACATGTAACATTGGGTAGGCAAGTTTGTTTGTAAACATTCTGATATCAGACAGGTGAGTTTGTAAATATTGTTATGTTTAGGAAGTGAATTATTTGTAAACATCGTGACATAAAAGGAAAACTCATCATATGCAGAAATAATAATAATAATAATAAAGGAGAAGAGAGTAGATGTAAGAAGCCTTTATAACTTGAGCCTTTAGTATACTGTACAGGCTTCAAGGGTGTAAACTCTCTCTCTGTTTACCTGACTCCCATTGCCCATTTATTCTCTCTCTCTCTCTCTCTCTCTCTCTCCTCTCTCTCTCTCTCTCTCTCTCTCTCTCTCTCTCAGCATCACAACCCGTGTCACGTAAGACAAAGATCCGCACCTTAGTCCTCCCCCCAAGGTCCCTCCCAGTCACACCTCCTGTCTATCAGTGCATGACGGACACACGGAGAGACATACGTGCAGAGAGGCAGAGGAACTAACCAGAGAACACAAAAACTCACTCCCTAATGAGTAGTTACCCCAGAGGAGGAGATGGAAGAGGAGGAGATGAAAAAGGAGTAGGAGAAGTTGGAAAAGGAGGAAATGGAGGAAATGGAGTTGGAAGAATAAGAAGAATTGGAGCAGGTGTTGGAAGAGGGGAGGAGGAGTTGGAAGAGGAGTTGAAGCAGGAAGAGGAGGAGGAGCGGGGAGAGGAGCTGGAGCGGACGGAATAGAAGGCACATGAAGAGGAGGAGCTGGAGCAATAGGAGCAGGAGGAAGGGGCAGCCATGCGCATGACCAAAGACCACATATAATACTTCCTCGTCAGTCATCGTCAGCAACACGTCATTGCTGGTTCCCTGGCGCATTTCAACGCACACACACACACACACACGCACACGCACACACACACACACACACACACACACACACACACACACACACACACACACACACACACACACCTGGAGGCCCCCCTTATACAGAACACAATACTCGGGTTCACCGCCTGTGAGGGTATGGGTAAGACCCTTTCCTTATGGGTAAATGGGAAGGCACACGCCATATGGTCTCCAGTCCTACTAGACCCTGACCTAAACTAACCTAACCTCACTTAATCTAACTTAAACTAACCTAACCTAACTTAATCTAACTTAACCTAACTTAGGTTTGTTTATATTAAGTAAGGTTAAGTTACTTTAAGTTAGGTTAGGTTCTATTAAGTATTGTTTAGTAAGAGATGTTAAGTTAGGTTAAGAGGAAATATTCAGTTAAGATAGGTTAGGAGGAATCACGTTGTTACATTAAGTTTACGCTAAGTTTGAACGAAAGGTTAAGTTAAGATAGGTGAGGAAGATAGTTTAAGACAGGGGGGGGGGGTGAGGAGGAAATTTGTAAGTGAAGGAATGTTTAGTGAGACATGAAGCCTTAAACGGTAAGCCAGACCTGACCATTACACACATCTGGTGGCCCTCTCACTCCCTCTCACTCTCTCTGCCTCCCCCACACTCCCACACTCGTCTTACCCTAACTGTTCGCCTCCCACAACCTTACCCACTTATGTCCCTGAAGGCTCTCCCACGCCTCTCTCTCTCTCTCTCTCTCTCTCTCTCTCTCTCTCTCTCTCTCTCACACACACATTATAGACTACGCCTTCACAAATACACGAAGGCACCAACGCACGCACACACACACACACACACACTCAGACCTACACACACACACACACACACACACACACTCAGACCTACGCCCACACACACACACACACATACACACACACACACACAACAACAACACATCCTCAACTTGTCCCCTACACACACTCAAACTCGCCCGCACTCACGCACACAACGACTGGTCTTATTCTTCCACTACTTTTCCTCTTCCTTCACTTTTCTCAATTCTTCCTCCTCTTCTCTCACCTTCTTCTTCCTCCTTCACCCTCCATCTCCAGTGGCTCCCTCATCTCCCCTCCTCCCTTAAAACCCACTTCCTCACCCCCTACCTCCCCCTCCCCCCTGAGTCCCCATCACTCAAAAGGTCAGACAATTAGGCGGGTGTTCTTACATAGGTACACGTAAAACACTGAATGTAATAACGTCTGCTGTTTCACTGAAGGACATTTGGGTTGTAAGTCGTTAAGCGGTGATGAAGAGAACGCCGTGGAGAGAGAGAGAGAGAGAGAGAGAGAGAGAGAGAGAGAGATTCGACATCCGGTTTACGGGCATTAACCTCAACAAAAGAAAAACGTCTGTTGTTTTCTGGTAAACGTTTTTTTTTTACGATCTTTTTCATCTTCAGTAATCCGTAAACGTTAGTGCGCCTGGCGGACTACAGAGGGGGGAGGGGGTAGTCCTTCTCGATTTCCCTTATGTTCTCCATTCCTTCTTGCCTTCTGTCACTTCCTCCATCATTCTCCATCCTCCTTCACCCTTTTTCTTCCATCATTCTCCCCTCCCTCCTTCTCTCCATCAACCTTCACTTATCCTCCTTCTGTATCGTTTCTGTCTCTATCAGTTGTTCTGTCTCTCCAATATACAGTAATAGGGTTGTGTTTTGGTGGGGAGGGAGGGAGGGATGATGGTAGTAGTAGTTGTGGCAGAGATAATGGTGGTGATGGTTGTAGTAAGGCTAGTGGTGGGTGATGCTGGTAGTTGTGGTGGTGGTTATAGGGATGGAGGTGGTGATGCTAGTTGTGGTGGTGGAGGCGGCCTTCAGAAAATGGTGGTCGTGTGAGACTGAATCACTTATGAACTCCCCACCACTTTTAACCCACCCCGAGGAGATGCCCACTCCCACCCACATCTCCCGCCCACACCTCCTACCCACACCACCCGCCCACCTCCTGCCTACCCACCACACCTCCCTACCCACACACCACACCTCCTACCCACACCTACACCTCCCGCCCACACCTCCTACCCACACCACCCGCCTACACCACCCGCCCACACCTCCTGCCTACACCTCCTACCCACACCACCCGCCCACACCTCCCGCCTACACCTCCTACCCACACCACCCCACTAAATATAAAGTGTGTGGCCAGACACTTGAACACTACTTCCTCGACTGTGTTAAGATAGAACCTTTTAAGGACAGGTCCAAACACACTGTGTGCTGGAATACTTCTCACGCAAATGTGAATAACAAAGTGTGCGGCCAGACATACTGCCTCACACGCCGGTACTCACGCATTAGTGAATAAGTTACCCTTTATGTATAGAATTAAACAAATAATGTAATTGAAATACTGTGTAACATTCAGTGTCATAATATCCTGACAACGGGGGTTAATTATTATGACCCTTTGTAAACTCTACTCTGTAATCCTTTTGCGCTACCGCTCACAGGATGGGTGTGGGTTGCACAATAAAGTAGCCGCTGTAAGCGGCAAAATCAAAATAAAAAATCAACCCCTACCCACACCTCCCGCACATACCTCCTGCCCACACCTCCTACTCCCCCCCACTCCTACCATGGGGAACGGAATGGAAGGGATCAGGAGGGTGCACAAAGTCCCCCTGCCTATTCACCCCTGCCCTGCCCCTGTACGCCCATGAGGAGGGTGAGGAGGGTTGGGGAGGATGACGAGGGTTGGGGAGGGCCGGGGTTGCACCAGGGCCTCGCGCTACCGCCCCCTACATCCTGTCGCATCTCCTGCACTGAAAGCACTCGTATTATCCTGTATATCAGCTTGTCCCACTGACGTCCGCCCACTGATACACAAAGCCCGCCCACCCACCCATCTACCCACCTCTTGTACCTCAACAAACTCCTAAAACACCCATCTGACATTTACACCCTCTTCCTTCACTCACCCACCCACAACCTCCACCCATCATCTTTTCCTTCACTCACCCACCCACAACCTCCACCCTCCTTCCAACCACATACCTCTACCCTTCTTCTATCCACTCATAATATACTCCTTTACTTCCTCCACCCACACGCCTCCACCTTCCCTCCCCTCCCCCCACCCACACGCTCTTAACCACCCTTAATTCATTCATAACCTCATGACTCGCTCCCTCTCTCTCTATACAGTAGGGAAGAGTCCATGTACTCTCTCTCTCTCTCTCTCTCTCTGCATACTGTTTATCTATTCACTTATGACTTATGTATTTATCTCCTCACCCTCCCATCTTTCCTCTTCCACACACTCTTCCTCTCCCTACCCCTTGATAGTCCCATTCCAAATATCCTCCACCCCACCATCCCCCCCCTCCCCACATTCTATCTAATCCTTCATCGTCCCTCTTTCATCTACCCTCCCCCTCACCCACCATCCCTCCCCACCCTCACTCTCCCACGCAGCAGACATAGGGGCTCCTACACCATGCCCTGGTGAAGACGCTGAGAAGGATACGTCACTCTATTCAATAACATTATCTGACTCAAGTAAAGAGGTCAGTGCCCTTATCACACACACACACACACACACACACACACACACACACACGCGCGCGCGCGCGCGCACACACACACCTTATCTCTTATCTCTCTCACCTGGAAGTTGGCCAGAACAAGTAGAGGCGGTGTGGGGACGCCCAGTTGTGCAGAGGACGCCCGTGACTTCTGTAATGGAGAAACAAGTACACGTTAGTACAGTACACGCCAGATGGGACATGTGTACTAAAATTTATATTGTTAGTAATTATTGCACAAGAACTTAGTACACATGAGCATAAGTACATACTATGATTGATTACATATGTGTATTAATACATGGAATTAGTACACATAAGCGTATGTACATATTGTGCGTGAGTACATGTGCGTATTGGTAAAGTGAGTTAATAGATATGTGCGTTAGTTCTTGAGAAAATGTCAACCAACACACGTACTTCACCTCTAAGGTTTACATAACTTTACAAACAGCCAATGACAGCCTCCTTAACACTCACCTCAAACAGCCAATGACAGCCTCCCTAACACACACCTCAAACAGCCAATGACAGCCTCCTTAACACTCACCTCAAACAGCCAATGACAGCCTCCCTAACACTCGCCTCAAACAGCCAATCACAGCCTCCCTAACACTCACCTCAAACAGCCAATGACAGCCTCCCTAACACTCGCCTCAAACAGCCAATCATAGCCTCCCTAACACTCACCTCAAACAGCCAATGACAGCCTCCCTAACATTCACTTCACATCACTAAGGACAAACACACCACACAACACACATCACAACACACCACACAACACACAACACATCACAACACACCACACAACACACATCACAACACACCACACAACATTCCACACCACATCATACCACCCATTACACCATTACCATTCCGCACCACACCAGACCACATATCACACCATACTACTCCACACCACACTACTCCACTCCACACACCATGCCACACCACACCACGGTCTCCTCCCTCAACCGCGAATAAATAGCTTAAAACACCTACTTACATTTCCTCTACACTCTTAACACTTCCTCACTTAACACTCACACTTAAAGCATCATCACTTAACACTTCCCACTACTTAACACACTTAACACTCACACTTACTGCTTTCTCACTTAACACTCACACATTAAACTTCCTTCACTTCATGGTTTAAAGTTTCTGCAGCGACACAAGTTAAATCAGTCTAGGATTACCGCAGATTTCTTTATTCAAACCGGTTTTCTTGCTTTGGCGGTCTGAAGTGGGAGGGAGGTGTTGACTTTTGTCTCTGAGTGTCGCAATAACAGATATGATTATAGTCCTGAGTGGCCACCTAACACAGTCCTGAGTGGCCGCCTGTCCCAATCCTGAGTGGCCTTCCTGTCCCCTTCCTGAGTGACCACCCCCTGACCTACTATGGCTAAGGGGCATGAGGATGGGTCGGGTGCCTATTAAGTTTGGAGTTTATTAGAACTTGGGGACCTATTCCATTTGGGTCTCGTTAGGACTGTACCCTAAATCCTGATGGTTTGGTTAGGTTAGGTTGGGTAATGAATAGATTAAGATTATGTTAGGATTGATAATGATAGGTTAGATTAGGTCAAATAAGGTAAGGATTTGTTAAGTCAGGTTTGGATAGATTAAGTTAGGCTACGTTAGATTAAATTAAGTGTGTTTAGGTTAAATTTGCCAAAGACTAGGTTACGTTAAATTAGCCAAGTTAGGTTAATTTACATGGGATTAGATTAAATTAACCGAGGAATGGGTTAGATTAAATGAGGATTGTTACCATCTCAAAACACACACACACACACACCCCTACCTTAAGGACTCGAGCCAACTCCACCCTCGCCTCTTCCATCATGTCGCCCAGGGAAGCCGAGTCCACGACGAAGACCAAGCCGTCGGTGGCGCGGGTGTAGGAGGACCACAGAGGACGCAGTCGTTCACCACCTCCGACGTCCCAACACGACCACCGGTAACCTCCGCCCCATACCTGTTGGCAGGGGAGGTAGGGAGGTCAGGCAGGTGTGGAGGCAAGGGTTAGAAGCACGGGAGAGAGGGGGGAGAGAAGAAATGTGTGTATGTGAAGGAAGACGTAATGTTAAGAATGACTGAAGAGGGAGAAGGGAGTTAAGAGGAGAAGAGGGTTAAGGGGGAAAAGAGAAGGAAGAAAATTGAGGAGTAGAGGGAGAAAGAGAGAAAATGTTGGGTTAAGAATGATGACACAGAGAGAGAGAGAGAGAGAGAGAGAGAGAGAGAGGATTAAAAGTAATGAAGGAGGGAGAAGAAGAATAGTGATAAAGAAGGATAAACGATAGTAAGTGGAGAGGGAAAGGTTATGAATGAATGAATGAATAAATGGAAGGAAGGAAGGAAGGGGGAACAGACGGTAAGAATGGTATAGAAAGGAAAGGGGTGAGAAAGGGTCAGCCTTGTATGTATGGGAGGCAGAGGAAGAAGAAATAAATAATGAAGGGAAGAAGTATTTAAGAGGCATGGTTTCTCCCTCTCAAATTCTTTATTAAACTTTACAAAATCATTTCAATCTCAGGAGGAAAATTGGAGGAAAATTTATTCGGATATTATTATCGTCAGATAATTTTGACACTTTGAATTTAAAAAAAAAATATGTAGTATTTAAAAACGTTTTGACTCCGAAAATTTCTTTAATCAATAAAAAACAATGACGTTTTAAGTAAGAAAACTTTGACACAAAAAGCTAGGAAAGTATTTTAATTTACCAAACTTTTATATTTAAATAAGAAAAACTGATATTACGTTATTAGATCCCACAACTATTAAATTCAACTTATTACTCTATTATATCCCACAAAACTGACCAACACTTTCCCCTACAACTGACCTTCTCGTGGTTGAAGCCAATGGTCGGTGTGGTGGCCACGTAACAGCGATACTTCAGTCTGGTCAGGACCGTGGTCTTTCCTGAGCCGTCCAGACCCACCAGGACCACGTGTTTCCTCCTCTTCACCACGCCTTCCACGGCGCGCGCCACGCCTGCCTTACGCCGCGACCACGACTCCATGACGTGTGTGTGTGAGGGAAGTTGGTGTTAGGTGGGCTTCCTTAGGTGGGATGTGTGAGGTTTCTTTTAAGACGTAGGGGCGGGAGGGAGGGAGGGCGTGTAGCAGGTTTAATGAGGCGTGGGGGATTCAGGCATACAAGGGCGTGTGTATATCGATCTTGCAAGGCGTTCGTGGGTCGTGTAGATAATCGAGGAACGCACTAAAGCTCGCAGCAGGGTGTGTGTTATGTTTCCTTCCTGGGAAACTTGAGACAATTCTTAAGATGTTTGTCTGTCTGTCTGACTATTGTGCTCTTTTTTTTAAATCTGTCAGTTGATAGATTTCTTTATTATCCAATTTGACGAGCTGTATACCGTCCTGGAGGAGCAGCAGCTGGTGGTGGTAGGGGAGAACAGCTGTCAGCGTGGTATGCAGTGGGACGGGACGAGACGGAATGTAGAGACGGGTGAGGAAGGTGAGCACGGACCCACACACGGTGTCTAGACGCACGACGCACCTCTTGCCGTCTGTCGATGGGTGATGCAGCCTTCACTGACTGTCCTTAGACAGTCAGTTCTCTTGACTACTTTAGACAGCCCTCTACCTTTCTATCGATGAACGATGCAACTTGACAGATATATCTCACCGTCTCACCTTAGAGGAATTTCACTTATCTTATTTTTCTCTCCTGTTCCTATTCCTATATTTCGCTTTATTAGTCGGATTATTTTTTTTCTTTTTTATTTAACTCTAGGATGCCTGTGTACACCTTTCAGCTCCACACCTGCAAAGAAAGAAAATATTCGTTACAAAATGAACATAACTATTTTTTACAGGATAATAAACACTTTAAATATTTCTATAAACAAGTATTACACTCAAATATATCCCCCAATATACCCAGCTGTCAATGAGTACATGACTTTACAGTTGGGGAAGTGAAGGTGGTCGAGTGTAGTGCCAGCCATATTGCCTCCTTGAGTACTGAGGTTCAGTGTTATGTGTACAATACTGTATCCGCACTGTCACGCCCATGAAACACACCTTCATATGATCGGACATACAGTAATATACTCGTATACACTATTCTTTAATTCCCCCCCAACAAATCAACCTCCAATTCCAAGATCTCCCCAAACCCGCCACTCACAGCTGTGTTGGGGGAGAGAAGACCCCAGAACCTCAGGCAGGTAAACACGATGTACACACACACACACACTTGGGCCTCTATCATTAATACGGTACATAATATACATCTACATGATCAACACACTACATATATACACATCCAAGATATATAACACACAAACCCTTAAGGACCGACTGTCAGCTAACCAACGCCAGGTAAACGAACAAGAGCGACAGGTAAGAGAAGACCTGTAAGACGTTGGGAGAAAATTTCTCTCTCCCCCGTCAGCCAACCTTGACATAGTGATCGTTCATACCAACCAGCCTTGTGCCTCGACACGGTCAATGAACACGGACGGAGGGGCGGGCAGGCGGGAGGGAGGAAGGGATGAGGAGGAGAGGGTGGAAGGGTAGGAGGAGAGGATAGAGGGGTCGGACGGAGGTAAGGGTGAAAAGGAGAGGGTGAAAAGGGTAGACGGAAAGGACAAGAGCGGTCGAGCAGACGGAAGGAAGGAAGGAAGGAAGGAAAAGGACAGTAGAGGAAGGAGAAATGGGCGGATGAAATGAGAAAGAGGGAGGAATGAAGGAATGAATAAATGATTGAAGAGCTAACAAGAGATGGAATAGTCACAGGTAGGCAGTCACGTGTACACAGGAAAAGCTTCACGTTTCTTGTATACGACAGGTTTTTAGTTGTCTAACCGACCGTGCGGAACACCTCCCCCTCTCTCTCGTCTACCTCCCCCTCGTCCTTTCTTCCTCCAATCGATTTTTTTCCGTATATGTATGTATGTATGTATGTATGTATGTATGTATGTATGTATGTATGTGTATGCGTGTATGTGTAAATGTATGTATGTATGTATGTGTGCGCGTGTATGTATGTGTGTCGGTCGCCTCCTCCACATGTAGAGCAAAACGTACAGCGGATGACACTATCTTGTGTACAGTACATGACTCACAACCCTAGTCCACAATCTGACCTTTATTGTACAGTACGTGTTGTAAGTAGGACTTGTGGAGCGAACGTCAAGCAAGTCTCAGAGCTGTCACCGCTATATTGAGAGAGAAATGTTTGTGTGGTAGTTAAGAGTGAGTCGTAGTTACGGTAGTAGGAAAATACTAGTACTATACTGCCAACCACAACATCTACAGTATGTGCCGAAGCTGAAGTGAGGCAATACAAATACGTTCTCACTTTACCAGTTCAGTGAAATAGAACGTAACAGCTTAACAGTGTCTTCACAACATAACAGTGCTGTAACAGGTCTCGGCCGACACTGTAAGGTAATGACATACTTAGGAGAGTGACGTACAATACCAAGTTTTATACTGGTACATGTTTGAGAGAGAGAGAGAGAGAGAGAGAGAGAGAGAGAGAGAGAGAGAGAGAGAGCTATTACACAGGACATAAGCGCCGCCGGTCAATTTACTGGGCAGTGCTTGCATCCTGTTAGGCACCCGTCCCCTTCCTGTTGTTTATGTTCCTGTTGCTACTGTTATTGGTATTTCTGTTGTTGTTGCTTCTGTTGCTCCACAAAGGCACCCTCAAGTACCCATCACCCTATTCGCGTGTTCTAAACATCCCAACCTCTAACTTCTCATGTATTCTAAAAGACACAACTTACACAAAAGCCTTGGAAGCTGCTGTTAGTCATCACTATAGAGGAACAACAACCCTAGAGAGAGAGAGAGAGAGAGAGAGAGAGAGAGACCTTCCCATCTACTTTCTCTGTCAAACTGCATATTTCTCTCTTGATACTTTCTACTGTACTCTCTAACCACGCGATAATTTTCTAACTCATTTTCTCTTTATTAGTCGATACGGGTACACTTGTAACACGGCAAATTATACCAGGGTCACACTGTGGTCCACACCAGTTCATATCGCGGAGTGTACATCTGGTCTTAGTCACTCTATTCCTTTGGGTTAAGTCTGGCCTAGTGTCTTAGATATCCCTAATCTAATTTAACCTCCCCTAAAATATTCAAACCTAACCTATCCTAAGGTAACCTACCGTATCCTTAACTAACATATCTTAACCTAATTTAATCTTAACTATCCTAACCTAACCCCATCTTATGTTAATCAAATCAGACAACCTATCTTAACCTAACACCCCATCTCCCACTGTATTGAATGTTAAGTGTATAATCTGGCCTGTTACAACGATATAGGTAGTCACAAGTGCTGGTACAGGTACAAGTTATCGTAGAGGTGTGGGATTGGTATAATGAATACATAGCTACCACACATAACTACTACATTGCTACCACACATAACTACGACACTATCACACATAACTACAGTACCACTACAGCCACACATAACTACACCACCACACATAACTACGACACCAAACCACACATAACTACACTACCACCACTACTACTACACATAGCTACACCACCACCACTACACCACCTCCACTACACATAACTACACCACCAGCCACTACACATAACTACACCACCAGCCACTACACATAACTACACCACCAGCCACTACACATAACTACACCACCTCCACTACACATAACTACACCACCACCACTACACATAACTACACCACCAGCCACTACACATAACTACACATAACTACAGCCACTACACCACCAGCCACTACACATAACTACACCACCAGCCACTACACATAACACCACCGCCACTACACATAATTACACCTCCACTACACATAGCTACACCACCTCCACTACACATAACTACACTACCACCACCACTACACATAACTACACCACCTCCACTACACACACCACACATAACTACACCACCAGCCACTACACATAACACCACCACCACTACACAGCTACACCACCTCCACTACACATAACTACACTACCACCACCACTACACATAACTACACCACCTCCACTACACCACCACCACTACACACTACACCACCGCCACTACACGTACAGTACACCAGCCACTACACATAACACCACCACCACTACACATAACTACACCACCTCCACTACACATAGCTACACCACCTCCACTACACATAACTACACCACCACCTCACCACCACCACTACTACTACACATAACTACACCACCACCACGCCACTACACATAACTACACCACCAGCCACTAACACGTACAGTAACCACACCACCAGCCACTACACATAACTACACCACCGCCACAACACGTACAGTAACCACACCACCAGCCACTACACATAACTACACCACCAGCCACTACACATAACTACACCACCAGCCACTACACATAACTACACCACCACCACTACACACAACCACACCACCACCATTACACATAACTACACCACTACTACACACAACCACACCACCAACACACGGCTAACAAGACAGGAGGCACTTTACTAACCACTTCCTCCGCGGCACTACAGTACATCACTGACTAACCAAACTACGCTTCCCTGTACCCCCCCCCCCCACACACGTCCCGTATGGCGTAACAAGATAAGATATGATGGCTAATTCACGCCAGTGTTTCCAAATATGACGTAAATCGGTTGTTTTAATGGCGTAACTTATATACTGTACTTAATCCTTTGAATCAGTAATGTATGGCGGCAAACGTCAATAAGAATGATTTGCTTAATTATATACAGTACAATATACTGTAGATAATAAAGCGTAGGGTGACGGTGGAATACGCGTAGTTCCTTAATACAACAGGCATTACAATTTTTTTTAATGTATTTCGTCGTATACCGTATAATTCAGTCCATTACAGGGTGTAGTGTTGAAGAACGGAGTGACGGTGACCTGTAATAATACTGTTCTTGCTCCACAAACACCATAAATTAGAGCATAACGCAGAAAAATTAACATTTTATAAAATAACATTCCTTGCACAGTGCCCGCATTGAAAATATTGTGGGTTTTATTTATAGTTTTAATAAAACTGTATTTTAGTCCAAAATCAGAAATACAAAGAGAACTATGAAAATTTATACCAAAACTTCACTTCATAATGAACGCAGATAAGTGACAATAAAACAGACGATTTTCTTATCATATTCACTTCACTGAGAACACACTCACAACACAAGGTATATTAATAAATTCCACTTAAAAACCCACTTCATGAAGTCGTCATAAAATTGGTTGTTATAAAGTTTTGTTGTTACAACAACCAGAGTTCAAGCGTGTGCTCAAGAGTTAGGTCATACACTAGGCAACAATTATCATCTAAGAGAGCAACATCTTTCTAGTCTTACGACGGCAGAGATAAAGTTCACTTAAAAACTCACTTCACAAAGTCTACGAGCAGAGGCAAGACGTAAATGATGAAACAAGTAAATATCACTTCACCAGGCGGGTTATCGCCGTGGGCTGTTTGATGTAAACCGGTTATAAGCAACTTCAAGTACAAGAAGCAACACCTTGAGGCAGCCGACCTTCGCACACGACCGCGGACCAACACTCACTGAGCCACGATTTGTCTAAACTCGCTCTTTATAAATCCTGCCACGCGGGAGTGATACGGCATTCACAACCACGCCACACACCACCTGCCAGCCGAGTCTCCATCGTTCATACGTTAAATATTTCGTCTATTGTCATATGAGATCGTATCTCAGTAGCTCTCATTTATAGATATTTTAAAAGTTCTTTATTGTTTTTTTTCTTATGCGTAACTTTAAAAGAAGAGACATTCCCAAAGCGGTTCGAACATTCCTCGAAACCGATGTATGAACGAATCTTAACTGGCTCTCTTTAGTAACGGTGTACTAAATTGGTAACCAGTTAATCAGATACTTCGTCCACACATCTCTGTTTACGAGGAAAATCTTAGCGAACGAAATTTGAAAACTCATCTTTGTGTTTCATTTAAAATGAATTACATATAGAACGGACCAGCCGTGAACCCAGACCTTGAATCCAGAGTTACACCAGTGATGGTGATGTGGTGAGGGTAAGGATAGTGGTGGTGGTGGTGGTAAGGATAGTGGGGGATGGTGGTGGTAATGGTGGTAAGATATGGCGATGGTGGTGGTGATGGTGGTGGCAATTGTGGTAAGGATAGTGGTAATGGTGGTAAAGATATTGGTGATGGTGAGGATAGTGGTGATGGTGGTAAGGATAGTGGTAATGGTAGTGGTAAAGATTGTGGTAGTGATAGAGGCAGGGTGGGTCACTCCATCACCTTCTCCAGGGTCGTGTTGCAGCCCTCATCCACTCACAGGAATGCAGCCAGAGTGGATGCGGGTGTTGATTTAGGGTTTGCCCCCCTTGTAACTGGCGCTCAGGTACCGTTTTCTTGGTGCTGCCACAATATCCGGGAGTTTTCATGATACTCTTGTCCCCCTAGATTAGAAGATTATCCCTTTGGTATTCAAGACAGGTGGGTGTTAATATATTCAAGGCCGCGCCGGTCTGCCCACCTACCAGAGGAGTGATGTCATTGGCTCTACGTCACCGATACGTCATCGAGTTGGGGCATCAAGTGGATGACGTCACTTGGGTTGCATCAGGGCTGCCAACCGCCGCGAGCCCTTTCCCGCCCCCTGGGTATTAGCGTTGATACCGATAATAATATCAACTTTATTCTAGAACAATATCGATAAACGGAGTACAATAACAAGGTAGAGAAATAAGAGATAATATACTATCAGTAATACACAAATTAAATTCTTGTTAATATAAATGGTGACGCTTCAAAAATATTTGGTCCAACGGTCGTATGCCAAGCATGACTCACTGGCGTGCCATCCATGACCCTCTGTCCTTCTGCCAACCCCTCCCGCTCACTCCCTCCCGATGACACCCCTCTATCCCCACCCCTCCACCCTCCTAAATACCGGGACACGCACACACACACACGCAGCGCTGCTCTTTGTCTGTCAGGCTGTCTACGCCTGCATAATCTACCCCTCCCCTGCCTCACATCCTCCATTTTTATCAGCTGTAGCTACGCCATTTTGAATTGGATAAAATCATGGCTCACCGATAGAACACAGAGGGTCAGCGTAGATGGTGTTAAATCTGAGTGGGGCCGTGTAACCAGTGGGGTTCCCCAGGGGTCAGTACTAGGCCCACTCTTGTTCATAATCTACATAAACGATCTAGATACTGGGATCAGCAGTGACATAAGCAAGTTTGCGGATGACACCAAAATTGGCGGCAGATTAATTCAGGGCAGGATGCAAATGCACTACAGGAGGATTTAAATAAACTGCAGGGGTGGTCTGAAAAATGGCAAATGAAATTCAACACCAGCAAGTGCAGCGTACTTAATATTGGAAGAACAAATACTTATGTATACAGCCCTTAACATCAACCTAGAGAGTCGACTTGTGAAAGAGACTTAGGGGTACTTGTAAGCCCGGACCTACGGCCTAGAAAACAGTGCGTTAATGTTCGAAATAAGGCAAACAGAGTATTGGGTTTTATATCTAGAAGTGTAAGTAACAAGAGTGCAGAGGTCTTATTGCAACTATATCTTGCGCTAGTCAGGCCGCACCTCGATTATGCGGTTCAGTTCTGGTGCCCTATTATAGAATGGATATAAATTCACTGGAGTCGGTGCAGCGAAGAATGACAAAAATGATTCCGGGACTTAGAAATCTACCATATCAAGATAGGTTAAAGAAACTAAACTTGCATTCCCTAGAAAGACGAAGAGTGCGGGGAGATATGATAGAAGTATTTAAGTGGGTGAAAGGAATCAATAAAGGGGATATAGATAAAGTTCTTATAATATCCGAGCAGGATAGGACTCCTAGCGACGGGTTTAAGTTGCATAAATTTAGGTTTAAGAGGGAGATAGGAAGGAACTGGTTCACAAATAGGGTGGTGGACGAGTGGAACAAGCTTAGCAACTTTATAGTAAGTGCTGGAACGCTGGAAAGTTTTAAAAGGAGGCTGGATAGATTCATGGATGATAGAGAGCGGTAGTAACTCTCGACAGGAGCTGCCATGCACAGGCCAACCGGCCTATTGCAGACTCCTTATTTTCTTATGTTCTCTCTCTCTCTCTCTCAATTTTTCATTCTCCTCTCTTCTCCTTCCTCCTATCCCTTCTTCCCTCCCTCTACCCCTCCTTCCTTCCCTCCCTCCTATCATCCACCTTCCTTGCCTCTACTTATAACACTGTGGCTCCTCACTCCTAACACAGAGACACACAGACCGACCTGATGTAAACACCATCTCTGTCTGATTCACACCCCTTCCCCCAATCTCCCTTCCTCCATATCTAATCAGCAATCCCTTCCTCATCCTACTTCCTCCCCGCCCCCCCTTCCCTGTCATTAATCCTCCCCTCCCCCCCTTATACACAATGGCTGGTTACGTCATAATTCGCTATAATAAGTATATATACATTTTTTCCCCCTCGTGAGCGGATGTGAACGGGCGTGTGTGTGATTTTGTTTCGTGATGTGGTGGTGGGGTTAGTGGTAGTGATGGTAATACTGGCAGTGGTAGTTAATGGTGGTGGTAATGCTGGTCTGGGTGGTGGTAGTGGTTGATGTGAAACTGGTAGTGGTGGCGGTGGTAGTGATGTTGATGATGCTAATTATAGTGATGATGATGATGATCTGGTATTGCTGTTACGATCAGTCACGTATAATGTTTTTCTCACTAACAAAATCACAAGTACTGCTGCTGCTCGCGCTGTGAACTCCCCTGCGTGTTTCTTCCCTTCACTGATGAACAAAACTTTAACCCCGTTTAAATGCTCAAGAATAATGTTCTCCGTTGTTCTTCAATAAACTTTTCTCCTCGAACTATTTCTGTACCTCTCTCTCTCTCTCTCTCTCTCTCTTGGGAGTATTTATCCTGGCGCTGACTCTAAAGATTATGTACCATTTAGTTGATTCAGAGACTGATGACTAACCATTTATCCTCACCTAACCTAACCACACCATCTAATTCGGATGGTAAAAATCGCATGAACCATATGACCGTCCGCGTTAGATGACACCCTCTGAGTGCTCTTTACACACGGGGTCACTCAGTGCACCAAGATGTAACCTTGTTCACCTAGCAGTAATGTAGGTACCTGTTGTAAATCGAAAGTTGCGTATTCGTATTCAGGGAAAGTTGTTGGAACTTCCAATAACTTGATGACATAAAAAAACGATTGTCTCTTCAGGCTTCTACGCCCTTAACTCATGAGACATAAAGGCAAGCATGAACTTAGCATGCTTCCCTGTTGGGCGCTGTAAACGCTTCTGCGCTTCACCTTACACAAGGATGTAGGGGGGTTCCCCCCCCCCCCAAAAAAGTAACCCGGCCGTCTCCTGAACCAGCGTGAGGGCTCTGTACTACACCCCATGACCACCCTGTTGTACGTCTTTCGTCTGGCTAGTATGTCCTCTGGGTTAGTGCGTCGACTGGACTAGTGCGTCGTTTGAACTAGAAGCATACAAACACAGAGAAAGAGAGCGCTTATGTGACATTATCTGTAGTCGGCCGTCTAGACTAGTTCTCCACCACATCAATAGATGGCGTCTTATACACCGCATGAGGGCGTCGTAATAGACGGGTAACACAACACCACCTGAAGGACACTGTTAGCTGATAACATTCTGGTGACATTAACTTCATCTGAAACCAGCGACGTCTGCAACAACGATCAACTCAAACATATAATGCAACAGCAGAACAACTTAATGATGCCATATATCCCGGCAACACACGTCATTACTTGGACGAGTACAAAATCACTTAAAAGGCCTAAACAGATGTTGTTACTTTAGATAGAATAAAATCCCCCAATACAAATAACACTACTTAACAGAGATCATTTCGTTGATTAGTGCGAAATCTCCTCAACAGATGGTGTAGCATTTACTAATACTTTATCGCCTCCCTTGACGGCGTGGTTCGTACGTCCCACCACCACCATAGACGCCTGGGCTAATGGCTGGGGGGGACAAGTTTGTTTACAGTGTGTGTGTGTGTGTGTGAGGGGGGGGAGGAGACGGTACTTCTAAAGACAGGAGGTGTTCTCTACCACAAAGTGCATTATCGATAAGGTGTGTTCTTACGTAACCTCTGAGTCATTAAACAGTTATGGCGGGAATGAGGCGATACTGATAACATCTAGCACCAATGAGGAAGGTTAAGAGGGGAAAGTCAACAAAGATGGGATTTAATGATAGCCACTAATTGACTCTCTCTCTCTCTCTCTCTCTCTCTCTCAGGCACCAGGGCAGAACCCACGCAACTGGTATATAAACACCCAATACCGATTAGATGATTACGAAGAGTAAATATTACGGTACAGTCAGTCAGACATACAGACGACAGACAGTCAGACAGACAGACAGACAGACAGACAGACAATGCCTTCATAACTGCACATCCCCATATGAGAGGAAGAGGTTAAGAAGATAAAACATATATTAACTTCCTCATTTACCAAGCTAAGAATTATAATTTTCACTATTAACTTTTACCAT